ATGTATGCATATAAAAGTCATATCTGTAAATTATATACTTATATACATATATAAATTCTCATCTGTTCAATATTTGCATATCGAATATGATATAAAATCTGTTCCAGTTAAGAATATAAAAGGCTCAGCACTTCTCTCATATGTACATGAGAAATATCATATTATTTACATATACATATATATATTGTATATATATGTATGTGTAAGGATGCTTATGTGTATGTGTGCACATTACAACGAAATGAGCGAGCAAAACGGCAACGCCGACAACAAAATGACAGCGGGCCAGGTGAGTGGAAGGCGCTGCAAAAGCTCAACGCGTAAATAAATAAAGCCCCGCACACACACATACTGATATACATATATATGTATACATACATTTGTATGCGCGTGTGTTTGTGCACTTTGTCAACAGCTACTAAAACAGCAAAGAACTTCATAATGAGCATTCGCGCATGTGGGCGTGTTGTTGCTGGCAGCGCATGCGTCTGTAGTTGTATCATCCATTTTGCATTTAAATGGTGGGTGTGGCCTCGCACACCCATACACTCAACAGCAAGCAGTTGCACACAAACACACACATACACACAACACGTAAACCAGCCACACATTGAACCGTTAAAAAAATACTTGATTAGCTCGTTCTTTTCATTTCAACATTCGCACTCGTATCCTATGTCACTATCTGTCTCGTTCTCGCTCTCGCTGCTGAGTGTGTAGCCACATTATGCACAAAGTATTAAAATTCAACAGGCAACAACAAATCAGACACACATGTGTGTGGATGTGTGTATTGCGTCTTGTGCCTGCTGTATTAAGAGTAGATACATTTTGTCTTTTGCATAGAAATGTATCTTTTTAATTGCTTTTACACACTTTGCACGCAAAAAACTTTTGCTTTCAATTTAATAAATTGTATTATCCAAAATTATAAATTAGATTAGTAGAGAAACCCAAATTAGATATTTATTAATGTGATAAAAATAAGTATGTAACCAAGTTTGGTTAGAGAATTCAGCTTGAGATATCTTTAACAGTTTGAGCACCTGTTCATTCGCTTTCTGTGTATCTTTATAATTATTTGAATTTGACTAAAATTCTATATTCGCATTAGATTTCTTATCTCCAAATGAAATACAAATATTATTTAACCTACTAGAAATTATTTGCAATAGTAATTTTACAGCTGGACCACAGATACAAATAGATATACCTATACATAGGTCTATAAATTCAGTGAGGGCTAACGTACATTTCATATATTTACAGTTGGTTGCGCACATCAAATATTTTTACTTCTTTTCCGCGTGGTTTATCTACGTGAATAGATTTTCGCAAAAAATTGTACTAAAAATTAACCACTTACAGTTAGGAATGACACTGATTTGACAGCTATCAATTTATATGCCTGCGTTTCATTCTCCTTGTATTCACCACATTTCCACTTAAAAATCGCCCAATCTACATTAGTTTCGCATCAGCGCCTCACTTTTGTTCAGCTCTGACACAGTATGCTTTCAGATTTGACAATTGAAACCATAAACAAATATTTTTATGAAAAAGTTAGAAAAACATGAACATGCAATATTTAAAAAGAAATAAATTTGCCGCGCTCCTTTTTCAAACAATCGATAAATTCCACTGAACTGTAACTTGCTATACATGTTTGAATGTCACTTCTTAATTTGGCAAATATTGTCACTTAATACAAAATGACTAAACATTAATAAAAAGATTGTTTAAATTTATTTTTTAATTTTGTACACCTTCATGTTATGTGGTCAATATATACATTACTTGACACATAACTATCACAATAGTTTTTTTTGCCTATATAGCATACGTTTTTTATTTTTGGTATTCTAGAAGTTATGTTATGCAGCCACACTGTTGTATAAAGACACGTAAATCAACAATTGGAAGTGAAAGACTGTTTTGCAAATTCAAAGACATCGTATATTAACATTAAGGAAGATGGACGCTGGGACATGGTACCATTCGTTGCCTCGCTTCACACGGTACTGGCTAACAGCCACAATCGGCATGAGCCTGCTCTGCAGATTCGGTCTGCTGCCAATGGAATATATGTACCTATCCCGTGAGCTGGTTCTGACCCGGTTACAGCTGTGGCGATGCATCACCTCTCTGTTCGTGTTTCCGCTGAGCGGAGCGACAGGCTTCCACTTTCTGATCAACTGCTACTTCATAACGCAGTACAGCAAGAATCTGGAAAAGGATCAATATGCGAGAAGCCCCTCCGACTACCTATATCTATTGATAATCACTGCAGTGCTAGCCAATCTCGGCGGCATGTTATTCAACGTATACTTTCTGATGGACATGCTGGTCGTTGCAATCACCTACATTTGGTGCCAACTGAACAAGGAGGTCATTGTTAGCTTCTGGTTCGGCAGTCGCTTCAAAGCCATGTACCTACCCTGGGTACTAGCCGGCATCGAGCTAGTTTTCCACGGCTCTTTGGCCTCACTGGTGGGCATATTCAATGGGCACGTCTATTACTTCCTCAAATTCCAATACCCACAGGAGCTGGGCGGCAATGCCTTTCTCGAGACACCCGAATTTTTGTAAGTATATACATAAATTATGCTTATATATAAGCGCACAACATATGGAATCGGTCAACTGGAAAAATCTAGAAAGGAATTGTGTTGCTGTCCTAAGCAACTTCGTATTCCCTCGGCTCGCAGGAGAGAGTCCCTCATTTAGCGAGCCTCTTGGCCGTATGGCGTTCAGTGCGATCGAGTGAGAGGTCCGATGCTCTTATCAGTTTCCACAAGGCACGATTTTTTTTTTTTTCTTGCCGACTCATTGCTCTCTTTTCATCATTTAATGCTTTGTAACGAGTATCAAATAGTTGGCGAGCTATTTATTTTTCGGCATCAGCATAACACGCACACATACACACTTCAAGGAACACATACATAGACATTAATTTGTCGTGAAATTGCAATCAGAATAAGCAAACCAAAATGACATGGGCAGCTCCCCATTTTAATTGTACTTTGCTATTAATAATTGCATTTTATATATATTTTAATTACTACTAGAATTAAATTTAATACAATTTCTTTTTGTTGCAGAAAACGTATTGCTCCGGACGTATCTGGCGGCATTAGTGGCTTTGGTATTCCACCGGAGAGCAGAGCACCTCCACGTCAAGCGGCCAACTCAGCCTGGGGTCATGGCACAGCCTTGGGACGCAACTGAAACCTTTATTCATAAGTTTAGCTAACATACTATCTTTCTATCGATCTATGCAAATGATCTATACACTAAAAAAGTAAAAGCTCGATCAATCCCTGTCAAAACTCATCCTATACTTCACCTTGGGTTTTGCATCTTTTAATTGAGTGCATCATCGTGTTAAGGGGCGGTATGGTATACAAATATATACAAAAGATAACAAAATTATGAATATATTTGAATTATCTGGTTTGTTCATAATTGAGATAACTTCATTTTATCTATTGACCACAGTGTACAAATTTTATTCCTTTTGGAGCCATTTATTTTTGATACACCTCAAATTCTTGATCATTTATATAACCGAAATACATCTTTTTCTTGATCAAGTAACAATACGCTGAACGCGTATAGAGATTAGTTAATATCTTATTTTGTTGTAAATAAATGGATGCTTGCATTATTAATGGAATGAATTATCCACCCACCCAAGAACGAGCTTTGATAAAACTTGTAAATGATATCTTTTGAATAGTTTATAACGCTGTGGGATGAATATCAGCAATTTGGCGTCTTGATTTATGTACGCTATATCTCGCCGACTTTTTATTATATTATGCATTTAATTTCCAACAATATTTTTTTATGAAAACTTTTTTTCATTGAAGTTTGAACTAAACAAAATTATATATCTTTAGAGCAGAGAAAATCGTATACTAATTAATTGGTGTAAGAAAGAACTAGACTTCCGGAACCTTCTAAGCAGCTAAAATTATCCAGACCATACCCAACCAGAGAAGCTCATGTTGTCTTTTATGATTCTAGAAAGATCTGGTTCCTCATCTCTATGCATAAGCGAGCATATTCAATTAAGTCTACTTAAACTTATTGCCCCGATAAATAAACCTAAACTTTGTAGTTATCAATCTAATTGATTGACAATACAAGCAAAGTATAGACATGCCAATATTGTCTAAAATCAGATAGATTATACCTGGAATTCCCTCATCGATTTCAAATGAATTGAAAGATTTACTTTATGCTTACATTTATATTTATTTCATTTAAAATTTCTATGTTAAAAATTTTACAGCTGCACGCATTGTTCAACAATATTTGTATAATTACATTTTGTTTTACCGTTTTGTGGTGGTTTCGCTTCGATTGCGTTTGTTTGTTTTTTTTTCTTTTCTTTTTTTTATCTAAAAGCTACACTGTTTACGTTTTTTTTTTTTTTTTTTTTTAGATTTACAAAATCGATGCATAAAATACTTAAGAGCTAAACTGTTCGTACGTAGTTATAAATGTCTATGTATATATTTATGCGTGTGAGTGTGTTCGTGTGTGTAGGATTACTTGCTTCATCTTTTTTTTCTTTCTTAAACTTTTGTCCTTGTAACTAATCTCTAATCTGCTCTTTACACGATGCATATACATGAATTTATATGGCTTGTAGCATTTTGAAAATTCTTCAATTTTGTTTGTTTTCTGGTTTTCACTTAAATATTTACATTTTGCATTTAGATCGGCCATATATGAACTAAAATAATAATCTCATTAAAACACACATTTTACTTATTATGATTTGATGTTTCTGTTCTCAGTTTCTTTTCGTGTTTTGAATTATGTAATGAACTTATCGAGGGGCTAAAAACTAAATGAGAAATATGCTATTTACAATGTATACAAATATTTTATGATATTTCGAAGGTGGCAGCTTGGAGAAGTTTAAATAATTCAAAACAAGATTCGAAAATTCGACTTTGTTTTAAATTATATAATCGATATTCAAGCTTTTTCTGTTTTTCCTCTTTCTTTTTTTTTTACAAATATTTTTCAAATACATTTACAAGTAATTATAATGTTGCACTTTGCTTAAAGAACTTGGGTCCACTAAACTAATAACTGAATCCTAATTAAACCGGGCATTTTGTGTGTGTGTGTTAGTGTATGGATGTGTGAGTGTTTGTATATATGTCTGTTTGTGCGTAAATGAAGCAACCATAACAAAATAAACAGTTAGAACACATCGGACTACCTATGGCAGCGTCGATGGCTTTGCCAGGATCGTTGTTGTCGTTACAGCTGCTGGCCCTGTTCCCTGTTCTCCTGTTGCCGGCTGGTCCAGCTTTTTCTCATCTTCCGCCAGGGGTGGCATTATAGTTGCTTTCAGAGATGTGGTCGTGCTGGTGGTCGTCGTCATTGTCTCTGGCGATATGTTGCTGGTACACTCAATCTCAATGGGCTGCTCTAGCTCCATGTCCACATACTCAATGGCACTGTCCCCATCGTCGTGCATTTCTATGGCTAAATATATATTGATGAATTCAATTGGCTTCATCTGAATACGCCATATTACTTACTGCGATCTTTTATCTGGGAGTTTGCATTTTCCGTGTCCTCCCCGGCTGCATCCTCTACAATGACATCGTCCAACTGCTGCTTGTTGCTCTTTGTATCATTCGCAGTCGTTGTTGCTGATGATGATGCTGTGCCTGTTGCATTCGTGGCAGCTGCCGCTTTGGATGCCTGATCCAGCTCCATCTCCCAGTCCGTGGCATTGAGGACCATCATTGGCGCCGACTTGGCCGACGTCTTCGTCTCTGGCGCGCCATTGTCTGCCACAATGATGGGCATATTAATGATATCTATAGGCGTATCTTCAGTAATCAGCTGATTCGCCTTTGGCTTTGCCAATGCAGAAGACGTCGCAGCCGCAGCCGCTGCCGTGCCTGTGCCTGCACCCGTGCCCGTTCCCGTTCCAGTTGCCGTTCCCGTTGCCTGTGAATTGTTAGCCGCATTGACAGAAGTTGAAGGACCAATCACAAGGACATTGGGCTTGGCTGCCAGCAGCTCGCCGCTGGGCTTGGGTTTGCTGGAGGCCAGTGTGACTGCTCGCATTCCACTCGTCGGCAAAAACACCAAATTATTCTTGCCAACCCCTGCCGGACCGAGCGTCAATGTTGTGGGCTTAACCTTGGTGCCGCTGCTCGCCATGCTGGACGTGGAGACGACACTCACGTTGCTCGTGCCGCCCGCGGCACTCGAGATCACTTGAGTGGGCGTTAGCAGCTGCATTTTCTGTATCGTTATTCGCTGCTGCGACGACTGCGGCGAGGAGGGCGTGCCGACGCCAGTGGGCGAGACAGCAGCACTGCTGACAGTAACACCAGCACCGCCAGCGGCAACGTTTGATGGATTCAGCTTGTGTATGATGCTGCCCGTATGCAGCTTGGCCGGTTGCAGGAACAGTTTGCCGTTGGGCGAGCAGATCTTGATGTTGCGCAGCGCGCTGCTAGGCACATGCTTGATGCCGCTGGCGCTGGTCAGCTTTATGTTGCCCAATATCTGTGAGGTCGATGCCACTGAACCACTGCTGCTGCCAGCTGCCGCCACCGACGTCGCCGCCGTGCTTGTTGTTGTCGCCGTCGCCTTGCGAAATAGCGGCCCCACAGGCGCCCCTGAGGAGCTGCTTAAGGGCGTGATGAGCGTGTTGTTCAAACTGCTCGCTGGTATATTCTTTATAATATTCACAGCCGAGGCGCTGCTCAACGGTGTGCTCGCCACGCTGGCCACAGTCTGGCTGGGCACTCGCTCCTCGACAATGTATTTCTGCACTGCAGCTGTGGCTGGAGCCTTGCTGCTGCCGAGATTGTTGACGGACGTCGTTGGACTGGCGGCCGATTGCTGCTCATAGGGCAAGAGACGTACGGCTGTGTTGGGCACGGAAGGCAGCTGCTGCTTGTCGATCAGATTGATCTTCTTCGGCGTCAGCTTGGTGCCAGCTGGCAAAATGGTGCCGCTTGCCGTTGTCCGTACTTTCGGTGGGGCTGCTATTTGCTGAACGCTTATAATCTGTGGCGCCAGCGGCAAGTTAGCCGTTGAGATATTTGCGGACGCTGGCTGCGTGCCGCCTGGCTGCTGGCGTTCTTCTACAATGTATTTCTTAACAGGCGTGCTCAATTGTGGCGGCTGAATCGTCTGCGTCGTCGGCGATAATTTCTCTTTGAAAACAATGGGCGAATTAACAAATGTGCGCGGCGTCGTCGGCGAGAGCATCTCCGGCGGTCCATAGACAACGCGAGCGGCAGGTATCGTTTTTAATTTGGTGGCCGCAACCGATTTGAGCGCCTCGTCTAAAATGTATTCCACATGCGGCTGCACCAAATGATTGGCATTTGGATGCGCTGTTAGCTCTGTCGTTGTTAGAGGCGTGGATTGTAATACTTTTTCTTGCTGTTGTTGTAGCTGCTGTTGCTGTTGTTGTGGTTGTTGCTGCTGCTGATGCTGATGTTGTTGATGTTGCTGCTGCTGCTGCTGATCTTGTTCCTGTTGTAGTTCCTGCTGTTGCTGAAGTTGCTTCTGCTGTTGCATTTGTTGTTGTAGCTGTTTTTGTGCTCTCCGCCGGCCGCTCTTAGCCGGCTTCGTATTGATGCCGACACCGGAAGCATTACTATTGTTGGCCAACGGATTCCCGCTGCCCTTTTTGCTTGCCAATCGTTGTTTGTGTTTCTGTTGCTGCTGATAGAAGTATCGTTGCTGCAGTGTACGGGCACTGGGACGCTGCTCCAGAGGCACAAGTTGCCCATCCTCATCCTTGCCCCCACTTAGCTGGGATGGCAACTGCTGCAGCTGTGCCATCTGTCTATCTTGTTGTGTATTGCGTTTCTTATTCGGTTTCGTGTCGCTGCTCTCATTCTCCTTTCGCTTTAGAGTGGCCTTTTTTATTTCGTTGGGCAAGTCGGGCACCTTAAACTAGAATGATAAAATGAATGCGAAATGTGAATAATGAATAGTGAATACAAGTCAGACATAAGAGTAGAAGTCTAAATTAAATTTTTTTAAATAAGAAATAAAAATTAAATTAATTCGCAAAATATATATTTATAAATGGTTTGCAAAACATTGTTTACATATATTTTTTTTTTAATTTTGAAAGTTCGTATTGCTTACTTAATTAAAATTTCAATATAATCACCTTCAATTTTAGATATTTTTAAAATTTTGTAATTCGAGTTTTTTATTTAAATAAATCGATCAATATTGATTTCTTATCGATTGTAACATTTAGCCACTAGCAATCAGCTGCATGTTAAAATGTAAGTTAACAGTTTACTAATGCTGTTAACTGGCAGCGGCTGTTAACTGCCGATGCAGAGTTGAATTAAATAAAAATTAAATACACAACCGTGCGACAAGCAACATTTGGCACCAGCATTTGGCGAATGGAGTAGCTAGATGAAGGAATGCCCTTTACCAGTTAAGATTGGCAGTTGGAATCAATTTTGCATTAACCTTACTAAGCGGCTACATTGGAATTGGAACTTTTGGGTTACAAAAGTAGATAAGTTGATAGTAAATTAAATCTTGTATAGGTAGATCTTTCAGACTACAATCTAAGACCCTGTGCCAGACTTGGATTTGCCTTAGGTTGGCTTTACCTTGCTGCCCACCACAGTAGACCAAGTGAGACCCAGGCGCAGACTGTACTTTCTCTGCTCATACATATTCGCACATACATACGTACGAGGCAATAGCAGCACAAGTAAATACCTCTGTATATAGCCCCCGATCAAGTTATATAACGCTGGCACACTCACCGGCTCATCCATGACCACGATTGGCTCCTGATGTTTTGTTATGCCATGCTTAAGGGTCTGATAGGCTGACTGTTCTCGTAGCGTTTCACTTAGATTTGCCCCAGTTTCATTTGGTGGCGGAAGTTTGCTGTTTTCCGCATACGCCTTGGCAGCCAGATCGTTGGCCACAATGCTCAGGGCAGTTTGCGGACTAATTCGAGGCAGCAGCGGATATGGGCGACGACCTTCACGTGACCATTCCTGCCATGTGTTTGGACCGCAGACGCTAAAAATGTTTGTGGTGATACAATTAAATATATATCTATGTAAAATATGCACGCTTATTTAACATTTTACAATTGCTTACTTCTCGGCAATTGTGCATAATTGTTCATCGTTAGCAGCGCGGCGCACCTCCGCCCGATGACGTTCCTGGGTTATGTGAAACAGTTGGCGTAACTCCTCGAGCAGCTTGGCTTTCGGTTCGCTTAGCGAGCCTTGGGCGCGAAAAACGCTTATTACATGCGAATACGATTCTAACTCTACATGAACGATACAAACAAAACGGGCACCAATTAGCAAACAAAAATCGTGATCCACGAAAGCTGAGCTGCTGCTGCTGGTGGTGCTGTATAACATAAAGTGCTTCCTCCTGGCGGTGGCGGCAGCAGCAGCAGAATATCACCTACCAAGTCGACGCAGCATGCCCCGACATTCGTCGCGGGACATTTCCAACGTTTGCGGCCACATGCTGCGCATTGTTTCGAACGCACTACTTTTGAAGTGCTCCAATCCGTTAATTTGCAACTTAATTTAGCAATTTTCCCAAAAGGTTTTCGCGAATCTTGTAACTAAAACAAACTAAAATTCAGCGTTTGCTGGTGCTGATTTTTAGTGTTGCAAAGCAATCGATTCCACTATCGATATAATGTGTAACAACACATTCATACCTATCGGTATGCAGATGCGCCAACTATCGATAATGTTGCCATGGCACTCCGTTGCCAACAAAATTTACGTTTTCCCTGTTTGACAGGTGCCACGACATAAAAATTTAAGATTACGTTTCAATTTTCATATATCTTTAATGAATTTTGTGTTGCAAAGGATTTTTATTATTAATTCTTAACACATTTTTGAAAATGTATCTACACAGTAACACCTAACTTAATGGAATGTTTTGAGCTGTTTGAGAAACTTGAACAATGAGCAACGAATGTATGCCGTTTATAATTGGACGCAAGCAAATATTTAGGTTCCTTGTGATAATTACAGATACATGCCTTTTAAGGATTCAAGCCTCTCCTGACTCTCATGACTAGAGGTCCGCGAGTTTTAAAGATTCTATTGCATCGTCGGCCTAAATATAATTTCGTTTGTTTACTATACAAATTGTATATTCATCTACTCACGGATTTGAACCAAAACGACGGTATGAAGAAGTTTATGCGATTGGACAAGTCCATTTCAGATTTGGGAGAAATTCCATGTAGATGCAAATGCTTTTGCGATATAAACGGCGGAATATGAAAGCCAATCACTGCATTTTCTTTACTCACATTTTTTGATTCAAGAAAACGAATCATACCATTCTGCATGCGCTCAACTGCATAGGAAACAAACAAGACATATTTAAAATATGTTAATTACCTCACTTTTACTTACCTAAGCCCACGTGGGATTTATTGAGCACTTTCAGACTGTCAAAATGTTGCTTGGGTATTGCCAAATAGTGATAAGTGGAGGCTGGGTTTTTGTCCTTGAAAATAACATATTCGTCGTTTTCAAATTCTAGTTTTGGTGGCGTTATTCTTCCGTGGGCAATGTTACAAAACAAACATTCGATTGGAGATTGATCATTAAGATCATTTCCAAATTCTATCGTATATTTTATAAATATGAACAATACCAAACAGGCCAATGGAATTAAAAGATGTCTTTTCTTTAACATGTTTTAAAAGAAGACTTGGACAAGTCTAGCTTGTTAGACATTGCTTTGCGCAATGAATATCAACATAAAGATGGATATTACAATATCGATATTATTTATTTAGCTTCAACACGATCGATGAATCTGAGGAAAAGCAAAGTTCATCGAATTTTTGAAATTTATGCAACTGATTTATTTAAATTTAATTTACTTGACTGTGTAAATAAAGAATGAATTAGGCTTAATGTATTGCCTTATTTAAGTGTTCCTGATTTTGTAGGTTGTCAATATTAAAAATGCGCAGGCAATTAATGCTATAACAATATTCTAATTGGAATTTGTCGAAATCATGTTCAGTTTTCAGGATCTAAACACGAAAAATACTTAGGCCCTCGAAAAAAGTTCTCACATTTAACGCCGAGATTATTTCATCATATTAATATCCGGAAGACAAAGATAAAATATAAAGACTTATATAGTAAAATTGAATATTTATAAATACACGAATTTGAAAGTCGTGAGGGCTTTGGAATGCCACTACTTCTATTACATTGACGATGTTTTTTATATCGATGTATCGATTTGATATTAGAACAAAGATAAATTTGTGAGTTTGGCCACAACTTGTGGCCAATCAGTAGCATTTTGAAAATTGTTTTCCAATGCAAAATAAATGTTTATAACGCAATCAATATGTTTATACGATCAGCCAAAAACAAATTCGAGACCGTGGATATTGTGCGGAGACTGAAGCGTCTAGTTGAAGGCACTCTATCGTCATACCGGCGTTTGTTTTTGCTTTTACTGTGCGTATGCATAGTTTTTTATATGCTGCCACCCATATTTCGTTATCTATTTTTAAGCCCAACAGAGCAAAAAGGTAACGTATCTATCGCGCTTCATACCATCATCAATTAATATGTCTTTGTTTATTGTACGTGTCTTAGATCCACACAGTATGTGCATGGACGACCGCCTAACGCCCTACATCTTGCAGAACTATGAATACGATGCAAACATACGTCACGTGGCTCCATTGATGCCGGGCGAGAGAGACTACACGCCCTATGTCGGTAACGGTTATATTGGCATGGAGGTGTCGCATGGAGCGTCACTGAATATAAAACATGGACGCGCCATGCAGCTACCCATACGCTTCTATCCATTATTGTCCGTCACATCGAATGGTGGCAATGCGGGCGAGAAAGAAGCAACGGTTGTTGAGTATTTGACGGGAATGGTGCACAGATTTCAATGTTTCTCTGGCTACTTTGCCTCCTACACACTGTATGCGCATCGCACACAGCCCAACGTTCTTATGCAAGAGCTGCAAATTACCAATACACGTAACACAGTTGAAAGCATTGATCTAATAATGCCTCGCAATCGTTTGCCCAAGTCATCTACGCGCAGCATTCCGCTGAGGTAAGTCAGAGAAACTTACAGGGAATAAAATATTTATGTACATATATCTTCAACAACCCTCTATTGTAGCGATCCAGTACAAATTGGAATGCTCACATATAGTGCATTGGAAGTTATTTCGGGCACTGTGCAACCTTCGCAAGATGATCCGAGCAAGTTGGTCGTCATTAGCATCACAAAGCCGCAACTGGAAACTAAATTACAGTTGCGTAAACGTGGCACAGTACAAATAATCTATCCAATGATCATAGAGTACTCTAAACCCGTGACAGAAACTCAATTGAAAGCGACCATCGACAACATCGAACAACATTCGATTCAGGCCATGACAAAACTGCTACAGAGGCTCAGCGCCAAGACATCTGGCTCCGGTTCGGTTAACAGCATCAACACGTATCGCCAGGAACATATTAACGTCTGGACGGATCTGTGGGCGACGGGCTTCACGATAAGCACCTCAAAGGCTGAGAATAGCTTAAATGGCGATAGAATTAATGCCACCATGTATGCCGTTCTGTCCCAAGTACGCAGCTTTGAATTTGAAGACACGTCTTCCGGCTTGTTCGGGAGCTCGTCTTCTACGGGAAAGCGAGAGGAAATTGCCAAGGCGTTGACATACGCCGAGGGTTGCTACGACAGCTATCATACGCTTCAGGCGGAGAATCTTTGGCGTGATATGTCCACGCTGAATCAACTCAATTCTCTGGTGTCCTCTTGGATGCTTACGTTGGAGAAGCAAGGCTGCCACAATTTGATACGTGCTGGCGCGTCGGGCGTCATTCAGGCTATGACTCTGAGCTTCGGTAGTTTTCGTTTTAGCAACCAACATTTGGAATGTAATATGCATCCGAAATTCTTGCATCGTGACTTTCACTTCAGGCGCCTCAACTATGGCAATAAAACGCATGTCAATGTGACAATCATTGTTAAAGATGACAACAAGGCGGTTATCTATGTGGCATTGGATCGTTCCGATCGCAGTTACTATGCATGCGATGGCGGTTGTCTGGATGAGCCAATCCTACTAACGTAAGTAGAGAATGGAGTATATCTCATAATTTCAATTATAATAATTAATGTTCATTTTTCTTCAACAGCCAAAATCGTCGAGAATTTCCTGTGAAATTGACTGAACCATTAACTGCAATATTATATATAACTGAGGATAAGCAACACATGGAAGAAATTCATCATGCTATACATGTTAAGGAAGTCGTGGAGGGTAGGCTTATCTGTCTCTATAAATATCTACGTTTGTTTGTTTTAATTACAACTCTTATCTTCAGCTCCGGCGCACGAACAGCATCTAATAGCGCTGCATAAACATGGCCATCAATTGGGTGGGCTGCCCGCACTCTTCTGGGTCTCAGTCTGTGCAATAATCGTAGTATTTCATATATTCCTATGTAAGCTAATTATCAAGGAGTACTGTGAGCCAAGCGATAAGTTAAGATATCGTTATAACAAACCGTGATTCTAGTTATATATATATATATACATATACAACAAAATAAATAGAAAAACAAAACCATGTAATCAAATTAGTCAGAGAGAAGCTGCTAATAGAAACAACTTTGAAACTAAATGTCAGAAATCTTCAACGAAACTAATATAGAATTTGATCTAGCTATTTGGGTGGTAAGTAAACAATGTACTATGTATAATATTAGTTAAATTAAAGATAAAACGGTGTTTATCAAAATGTATAGTATTATTTGCAAGCTAATGTAAGAATTGTATGTACATTTCAACAATTGGATATATACTAGTTCTTTTTGTAATTACCCATAGTGACGCTATAAACAAACTAATTGTTACGCTCATTAAACTAACAAAATGACAACTGGGTACAACTGTGTTTGAATAACTCTAACCCTGCCGTAAGAATACAATTGATTTTTACTTTGAAAATAGATCATAGACTATAGACTATAATTGTTCATACATATGTATATCAAAAATGATTTATAGTCGATTCGCTATCGATGAATCGATGAGACCTCATATATTATTAGAATATTATTATAAACTATCTATATATAGTACATGCTAGGCCCAGATTCATACTTCCAGTTGCTACACAGCTTATCTATGAAACTAGACACACGAATTCATATCACATTATATTAAAAACAGCTGTTGTTAACTATAAAATGCTAGAATGCTTTATTTGAACGGCAGACGATTTAGCTTATGTACAAGGTCGGATTGGTGAAAGGCAATTATCTGTTTAACTTATTCTTAACTGCATACAATTCCTATAAATGCGTACAGGCGCAGATAAGTGTGAGGCTCCAGCCATTGATAGAATCTATTTGGTCACCTTGTGGATGCTGTCGGCCAGGTACTCAACATTCTTGCTAGTCACACCAGCCATAGAAATGCGGCCATCTCTGGTCAGGTACACGCTGTAGTTCTTCATCAGGCTGTCCACTTGCTCGGGTGTGAGTCCACTGAAGCAGAACATTCCAATCTGATCAACAATGTGCTGCCAGTTGCGCGAGGAGCCTAGCTTTTCCAGATTGCTCTTCAGCTGTGCGCGCACATTGATGATGCGATCAGCCATGGTCTTCACATCCTTCAGCCATTGGGTACGCAGATCGCCGTTGTTGAGGATCTCGGCGGCGATGCGCGCACCATGAATCGGGGGATTGGAGTAGAGAGCGCGAATCAGTATCTTGATCTGTGACAAACAGCGAGCTGCCTCATCCTCGTCGGCACAAATCACCGTATAGGCACCAGCTCGCTCACCGTACAGGCCCATGTTCTTGGCGAAGCTCTGCGCTAGGCAAAAATCATGGCCATCAGCCTCGAAGATGCGCACGGCCTGGGCATCGCCATCGACATTGCCGGTGGCAAAGCCCTGATAGGCCATGTCGAAGAATGGATAAAGTTTGCGCTGCTTGAACAGCTGCGACAGCTCACGCCACTGCTCGGTGTTGGGATCGACGCCCGTTGGATTATGAGCACAGGCGTGAAGCAGCACAATCGATTTTTCAGGAATATTCTGCCAGGATATAGAGAGTTTTTAGTAAATTAACAAGTTTCTGTTTTTCAATCCTCACCTTCAGGTCCTCAACCATGCCGGCAAAGTCCAGATTGCAGTTCTTTGGGTTGTAGTAGCGATAACGCTTGACTGGCAGACCGGAATGCTCGAAAATGGGCACATGATTGCCCCACGACGGTGTGGGCAAATAAATCTCGCGGTTTCCCTTCCAGAACTTGCTTAAAAATGCGCCTCCCACACGCAACGCTCCAGTGCCGCTGATCGCCTGCGTAGTGGCATTGTGCTTGGCCTTCAGTCGGCTCGACTGCTCGCCGAGAGCCAACTCAATGGCCTTGTTGTAGAACTCGGGCAGGCCAATGATTGTGGCATATTCCTTGTCCAGTGTACGACTGATTATACGCTTCTCGGCCTGGCATAGAGCATAGATTAGTAAGATCAATTGATTTAGAGATTCGCACACTTACCTCACGCACACTGGGAAGCACAAATGGCTTCGTATTATCGTCACGATAGGCGCCGGCACCCAGGTTAATCTTTTTCGGATTTGTATCCTTCTTGAAGGCCTCCGTGACGCCCAATATGGCGTCGGGTGGACCCATTTGTACCTCGGAAAACCATGTGGATCTGAAAGTTTTAGGTACAGAATTTTTCAAAAATACAAAGCGCATGAAAATTCTCTATCCAAAACCCTAACTGGTATTGAATTATAAATTTTGATAGATTGACGACATTTAAATTCAAATCTTGTAAAATTTATTAACAATACGAGTTTCGTCTGGTATGTGTCTAGAAGAGTCAATAATCTTTAACTTATGCTTATGCTTTGCTTATGATTAAAATTATATTTTATTTTGGTTGATTGTTCATTGCCCTCGGGTTACTTTTTTGTACTCTTCACTTTCATAGAACGGACGTTTACCCTACTTATCAAAGAATTGAAATAGTTATCTTAGTCCACTTCGAAAACGCGCTTTGGTTAGCTACAAAGGAGAAGAGATTAATGATACCTTTGGAGTGGTTACGTTTCAAAGTCAAATATCGCTTAATATTTGTGACCTTTCGAAGTTCAGATGCACATTGGCGTTATTTGTATTATTTGTCCTCGTGTCGGGTTTCCTCATACGCTTATCGCGTATAGCTGTAAACAAGCGTTATGACGTCCAACCCACTCAGATTAATGAGAGATAGAGATAAGCGATTGCTTTTCCATTTTTTTTTCTTCATTTACTCTCTTAGATAAATATATAAAAAGGTGCATATATATTTTATCTATTTTAAATTTTAATTAAATTGCATGTGGACTTGAAAGTTTCTTAGAAGGCAATCAGAATAGCTGATATGACTTCTGGTTTTAGCAGTTTCCGGAATAGAAAAAGCCAATATTACTGTGAGCTTATAAAATTCATTATTTTCATAACAATGTAAGTAAATATGGCTCAATTATTGATTAATTCGCAATTACTGCAATAGATATGTATAGCTTTACTCGAGAATAACACGATTGTTATGTCAAAACGTAATTTATACACAAATAACAAATCTAACAGCCGTATGTGATCGGAAATAAATAATTATCGCATTGAAAGATGTGCTAAAAATATGACAAAAACGTCAGCACATTGATGTTTCAAAGCAAAAGTACCAAAGGGACCAATCTCAAATGTACCAAATTTGATTCGAGAGAGAAACGTACCATTTTGGTACACAAACAAAGTGTACAAATGTACATGTGGCAGCCGTAGTTATATATTATGGGTACTTATATGTAACTGATATAGTTTACATACATATGTATGCATGTAATTTAAGGAATAATATATGAAATAAGGAAATAATTAACACTTGACATGCATATGCAGTCTCATAGATGTTACACATGTGCACAAGCAGATAATAAACATGTCACACATAAATACAGATATTATATATGTATGTACATATATAAATATGAGTACATGTGTATACATGAACAGATTGTGGAGTATTTTGTTGTTCTAATCAACGAACTGGATAAAAATACATACATATATGCACATGTATGTATGTCTATATATCATCCATAATCCATATGGTCACATAATAAAAAGTCTCAAGCACAACAAACACTAAATTATCCAGCGAGGCGCATACACACATGTATAAATATATATATACACACACACAACACAAGCTTATTCTTACGCATGCATGGAGCACAAATAGACCGGCATTTGCAATGACCTTGACAAATGACACTGCAGTGAACTGCGACGTGTTACATAGTGCAGCTAAAAAAACTGCCTACAACAGTGAATACAACTGAGATTTAGACTTACTTGCAACGTAAAACTGCTGGTGCATTAATGGCGATGCGGTTTGCAGTCAACAGGCTTCGTTTACAAATTTGCGACATGATTTTAAATGTTACTAAATGGTATTTAAATAAAATTAACGTAAATGCGGCCCAAATGCTGCACTCACCGCGGCTAAAGTGAATCTAACCAAATTTCGCCAACTGGAATCATTAACATAAGCTTTCAGCTAGTGATGCGCAAAAGCAAAACAACCATCGCGCGGACAAACATATGTTTTACTACATAGTAAAATGTGCTCAAAATTATATATATTTGAGTTGTAAAATTTCCGGAAAATGCATTTTATGATTTACATATTCAAAGCAACATTGACAATTCGAATTAGAATATTATAGTTCAAATTAGAATTATGTTAAGTTAACAGTAGCGCTCTTTTCCCACCCGAATTATCGATAGCAAAGCTACATTCCTATGAGGCGCGCAGCTGATTTTAGCTTCTGCTTGAGTCGCTTTTAAACTTTTTCCAGTTGTAGTTAAGACACTGTCGCGAGAAAACATGCGAAGCGTGTTATCACTAAAGCTATTAATTTAATTACTAAAAATATACGTCATGTTTAAGTTGTGCGTGCTTATCTCGTCGCTGCTTTTGGTGCTGCAGCTGGGTGCAGGTCTAGAATTTAAAGATTGTGGATCAAAGACGGGCAAGTTCACTCAAGTCACCATCGAAGGCTGTGATACGACAAAGGCAGAGTGCATTCTCCATCGGAATACCAATGTATCAATATCAATCGACTTTACATTGTCCGAAAAGGCTACATCCGTTATAACTGTTGTCCATGGCAAAGTGTTGGGTATTGAAATCCCATTTCCTCTCAGCAATCCGAATGCATGTGTCAACAGTGGCCTCACATGTCCGTTAGAAAAAAATGAATCCTATCGCTATACAGCCACACTCTCAGTGTTAAACAGCTATCCAAAGGTCTCAGTGCTTGTCAAATGGGAGCTTCAGGATCAAAACAATCTGGATATTCTTTGCATTGAAATCCCCGCCAAAATACAATAAAATATGAATATTATAATCGAAAAATGTATAAATCTCATTGAAATCTAATTTAATAAACAAATAATAAATACCAAGATTTTGCAGTTTTGTCGTTTGTATCGAGGCCAGCCATCATTCACTTTCATTGGCTTCACTTTCTTTGTTTTAAGCAATAAAATATTGTTTTTTCTGTGTTGTATATGATAATTCTTGAATATTTTAGATATTGACGAATATGCGATTGGCTTACAGCTAATCAGCCGTCAGATGTTAGTCATTTATTTACGATATGCTTAATAGCACTTTCTTATCAGCAATGAGTTCCAATGTGTTGTTCATGCTAAAGGGTTATTATTTATAAATATGGTGATGAAAAAATAAAAATAAATAATAGAAAATTAGCGTCTTATACTTATGTATTGCAAACTAAAAAGATAGAGGGATAGAGTGCGATTCACTCACCTTACTTTTGGGTAAGAGAGGGTGAGGGAGAGTGAGAGACAGAGAGAGAGATAGAGCGCTCTCCTGGGACAGCTATAAGTATACGAAAAGCAGCATCATTCCAGAATATCACAGATCAAAGTAAAAATAGATTGGCCAAGGCATTACCTATCAAAGTGAGCATACACACTTCCGATAGAGAATACTAGCCAGGTTGCATGGTTTTGCAAGAATTATGTTCTGCTTAATATTTCTAAAGATTGTATTGTTTTAATTATATTATATTAATCTGATACAGCATAATCTGGAATATCAATAAAACATCATGAGCAACAATTGTAGTCAGTAGAGAATAGATATCAATTTATANTAATTATGATAATTATAAATAATATAATGTGAAATATACGTATATAGCTATATTTTTAAGTGGTTTAAATAAAATAAAAGTAATGCGCCAACTTAAAAATACAAAAATCGGAATAATTAATCGATTGCTCTCTGAATTTGTTGAGATAGCTCACGCCGAGCACGATCGTGGACTACAATCGCTAATCCTACACATTGTGTGTATTTAGTAAAAGATACAATAATATCACACTCCCTATCTAGACATGGAGTATTCCAAAAAACCCACGTAAGGGATCAAAGCAATGTAAGCACTTCATGCTCTATGAACTTAGGTTAAAAGTAAGCGAAATAATTGCCTTGCAAGATATCTTTATATTGCCAAGAAATACTTTGATTTTGCCGCAAAGTTTTAAACGTATTATTTCCCCTCATGTAGTATGTGACCGATATGAAAAATACTGCATTCGTAATTTTTACGTTGTTTATCAACACTAAAATATCGATAAATTGGCGTAGCCCTAGATTGCGGCGTCGTTTGAAAGCAACTGTAAACTATTACCAACACAAGCGTAATGCCCAAACGAGAGACATAAAAGAAAACTGAATAACACAGAAACAAGCAATAATTAAGTGATATTTGTCACATAGTGATCTATTGTGAACGCGCAGAGCTGTCTTATTGTTTGGTGCTGCATTGAATAGCGGCGAACCTATCTCGATTGTAAACAAAACTAGTTTCCCGTTTTGGGCTAACTCAGATCATGACGTTACCGCGTTCCGAGACGCCATTGCGTCGTTCCGCGGTCGGTAGCCATCGCGAGAGTATGCTGCAGGATCGGACAACTATGGTTAACGACGATGAGGCGGAACGCCGTGAGGCGCGACGCCGCACGCTGCTACTGCAGCAAACGCGACCCCGTGAGAGCACCATCCTGGAGTCCATCGAGGAGAATGAGACGATAAAGAAGTGCCTGGAGATATATAATGGCAATAAGCTGAGCCGGGAGAATGCCTGGAGCTTGTCGTTGATCGATACGTTGTCCAACTTGCTGGATCATCATCACAAAACGCTCAGCAACTTTAAGGTAAGGGTTGCAGCTCATTGTTGCATGCGATTCTAATTGTTGTTGATTGTTATTCATATTTCAGATAGCTGGTTCATCATTGGAGGCCTCCTCAAAGGTGTATGGATTGCGCGTTGACTCGATATATTTGGATGCGATGCGTATGTCAGCTGGCCTAAATGCACGCACGCTCACTCAGCAGCAACTGAATGCAGCTGCCGCGGATGATAACGACGATAGTGCGAATGTCGGCCAGGTTGAAGGTGGAGGCGACGGTGGCATTGATGCTTCTGAGACAGCGGCGCCGAAGGCCAAGAAACGTAAACGCAAAGCAGTTTCCACAATAACCAAGAATAAGGAGACATTAAATGCGCGTCTGGATACTGCCCCTTTGCAGGATCCAGTATTTGGCAAACTGAACTCTACTGTGGGCTCCATTAATGCCTCCAATCGATTAATGAACAACATATTGCCCACGAAAGACTCTGAGCTGCGATTGCGCACAAATTATCGCTTTTGGCAAAATCCAAATATGGATGAGAAGATAGAGGATTACACTTTAGTTAATAATGATGATAAGAACACCCATACGATAATAGCCGCCGAGTGGGTTAATAAGATGCGACGCTACTATCAGCAGCATCTGGTTCTGCGACCGCTGCACACTGGCTATATTATTAGCGATGTGCCCAATCCGAGCAATGCCAACGATCCGATGCAGATAAAAGATGACGACGATGGTGTGGATAATGCAGATGATTTCTATGAGAATCCTCGTGAGCTCTCGATGGCTTTCGACATTAATGCTGAGTGTGAGCCGATGCCAGATCTGAATGCGTTGACAGCGGCCACCGTTTTGGAGATGGACTACAACGAGATGGACGAGTTGACGACCGAGGAGCGGACAACGTTGCAGCATTGCCGTGTCCTGCGCAAACAGCCTGTGTTGATTGAGGATTTGCGACCGGTTGACGGCAGCTCGAAGCTGGAGTATTCGTACCGGCCGATGGATCAGATCTCTCAGTTCTGGGCGGGCCCATCGCATTGGAAATTTAAAAGGACACGCAACACCAATACATTTGCTCAAATCACTTCACAGGATAATGTAACGGGCAAAAGCACCAATGCTGCTGCGGCACGATTACGGCGTGCAGCCGCACAGGCAGCAAAGCGACGCAGCAAGCAAATCAACTTCGGCCAGTGCACCGAGAGTCTATTCAAGCTGGATGAAAGCACGAAGCTGCGCAAGGCGAACTATCAAAAGCGCTGGGATCCGCGCAAATTGCGTCTGCCAACCAAATATGATTTTGATGCGAATTACTTTTATAAATATGATTACGCGCCCAGCATTAAGGTGAGCCGTCGATTCGGCGTTCCGGATGATGATATTGATAATGATGACGATGTCATGGGCAGAGATATGAATGCGGTCGGCGACGATGCTGGCGATGATGTTGACCTCTTTGATAATGATGAGTTCCAACGGAGTTCCGATCGTTTGCCCAATGACATGAATGTGAGCAGCTTCCCAAACGCTGATCCTGCGCTAGCTTCGTTCCGGCTCTCTGATAACCCGAACGCATGTAATGATCGGACTCAAGCCAACGATACGGTTCTTGAGATATCCACTGAGTTCCAGGGAGCACCGTCGCAGGTGAGGGATGCAAAGGTTTCAGATTTAAAAATATTTTAATCGTGGGATCATATCTTACCCATCGTATCATTTTATTCATTTCTAATCTCTCGTATTTGCATCTTGATCAGGTCACCAAGGTGATTGTGCCGTTTGCGAAACGTGCCAAGGTGATTGACATGAAGAATCTCAAGCGCAGCTGCAATTCGCTGATACAAAAACAATTATTGAGCACTGCCGAAATGGAGGAGGAAGCGATACCCGCACATCCGAAAGGAAAACAGGAGCACTATGCCAAAGGTATGGCCACCTTTAAAGAGATCTACGAAAAGCTGCCCGCTATGCTCACCACCAAAATGTCAGATTCCCTGTCGCCCTCGGTGGCTCTGTATGCGGTGCTGCATTTGGCCAACGATATGAGATTACGGCTCATACCACAGGACGATTTTGAGGACTTTACAATTAGACAAATAACAGACTAAGATATAACCCAGTTGACCACCATTTTATATAGATCTATACAGACATTTATTTATACGTAAAGCAGTATTTAAAACAAAAAAGTAATTTAAAATTTTGTCAATTTTAACTGCTTTTATATCTCAATGTTTTTGTAGTGCAGCGTGTGCAAATAATCGTTCGACAATATCGAAGAATCGTCATTATATAACTAAGATAAAAAGAAACCTTACCTTAAACCTTATACCTTACACCTTATATATGTATATAATGAGCATGGAACATTTATGGTAATAAAAGTAGTACGAAATTTAAGCGAAAATATATATATACATATATAAATGAATGCATATGTACATATGTATAAACTAAATATATACACTTGTTTATGTACGAATGGATGATGCAATTGTTTGTTAAATTCTACAAATAGTTAATGATGTATGTTAGTCGCAATTCCAAGGTTGTCCTTAGCTGGAGGTAATCCTAATGATATACCAAGGACTGAAATTCGAAATTTTCAAATTTTTATTGCTTAGATACTTTGAAATGTGCTTTCTCGTTTGTAAAAATGCCAGATTCGTAGCCAAAATATGAGATTTGTGGACCACAGTGTAATAATGAAGGCATGAATATTCAAATCCAATTATGAGGAAGTGAAATGAATTGTAGGAGCGTCGCCTGCTTTCATGCTGTTTTATGTTTTAGTCTACATAACTCCGCCTAGTAGTTGGGAGCGATGGAGCTGCAACATGTTGTTCTCAGCATGTTTCTACAACAGATTTATACAGTCAGCTACAACTAGAAGTAGTATATATATATATGTGGACTATGCATAAGATTGTACATTCAACTGTGATTATATTGATCATAATATTTTCAGTAATATTGTTGACACTTTTAAGACAATATTTTAAAGGTAAAAAAAATTAGTAAAATGTATTGTTAATTTAGGTTCTGGCTTGGTTTTTAGACTTGCTTTGTTGCTCTTTTGCTTTTGTTGTTATTTTTGTTAAATTTTCATCTGTAACTGACAGCAGTTACAGCAGCTCAACTTGCTCGTTGTTGTTGTTGTTGCTTCAARAACTTAAGTGAACAGACGCTGGAAGCTGATGACAAAGCGGAAGCCAAGCATTGTTGCAAGTCGTTCCGTTTTGTTTTAGTTTCATGCTGCTGTTATACCCTGTAAGTAGAGACGTAAAAGTGATAGAACTTATGGGCATCATGATGGCTTATCCTGTACCTTTAACTTGTATCATTGTCATTTACAGCTATGTTCACTTACAGGGTATGCTTAAGTCAAGCATTGCCTTATTGTGAACTGTGTTGTGCTGCTTGCCATTTGCATACGCAGAGCTGAGCGCGATTTTAGACGCGCCTTTCACACACTTTGCACAGTTGTTTGTTGTTGCTCAATGCATGTGTGTGTGTGAATGCTTCTGTTAATGTGCGCCTGTGTCTATCTGTTTAAGTATGTGTACGTGTATGACACATTTGTGCTGCATGTGTGTGTTAAAAAGTTCGTTGTTTGCTGAGCGCTTTTAGCAAGCATCGCGAATATGTATATGTGTATGCGTGCGAGTTTGTGTGCGTGTGTGTGTGTGCGTGTGAGTAATTGCATATTATTTGCATAAATATTTGCTAAGTACAAAGTACAAAATAACAACAGCAACAATGGCAAGTCACAGCGAGTGTGTGTGGGAGAGAGAGATAGATAGAAAGAGAGAGAGAGACAGAGAGAGTAACATAACATTTAAATAGCTTCATCAAACTTTTGATATTAGCAGCAGAAAAGTTTTATTTAACACATTTCTGACCTCTCTCTCTCTCTCTCTCTTTGTCTCTCTTTGTACTGCTATTTACCTTTGTGGTCTCTGTGTGAGCACCTGCGCAACATATTTTAATTGCATTTGTGATTTCTTTTAAATTATTCAGGTACTCTTTAGAGATTTAGACTTTCGAAAGTCAAATAAATGCTGTCAGGCAACAAGTAGGATTCTATTCCAAGGCCCAGCTCGGCCAAGTGAGCAAATATTAAGATTGTCTTCATATTATAATTAAAGAGTATGCCTTATATTTGTGTTAATCTGATATACTTTTGTGTAAGCAAAGAAATAGTTTCTTAACCTATAATAAATAATATAAATAGATACCCTGTATATTTCGACCTACAACAGATATACATATATGGTAATCTAGGATTTTTATAAAAGTACAAAATATTAAAAAAAAAAATCTAAACTATAAATATAAATTTGAAATTTATCACCTAAAATTTTGCATTTCCATTTCATTCCTCTTTCAATAAAAAAACTGTAATATCATGGCCCGATTTGCAATCTGTAAAAAGTACAGGGTATCTACAGTAATTTACTGGATGATTAATAATTTGATCAGCCAATTATAATATTCATATTTAGTCAAAATATGATATGCTAAGGCCTTGTATTGAGTGCACTTCCATGTTGTCAATGTCAAATGCAATTATCCGACCCGAAGCAAATGTGGTTTATGTTAAAGTTAATAAGGATAAGGATAAGGATGTTGTGAGCATATTTGACACATTCCCCCACACACCGAGGCATTTACAACAGAAAGGTTAATTATCAAGAGCACACATAAAAGACAAAGAGAAAGAGGGAAGGGTCTTAGCCAACATGTGTTTGTATATGTGTATGCAGCACCTGGTAGGTGGCTAACGCAATTCCTGTTTTGTGTTTGTCTTGTCATGGCCATAACAATTCCGTAATGTTGTTAGCTTGACGTTTTCAGCTTATCCATTACAACTAAGGCTGGTTTGAGGCTGCTGCTTTTATTTTCATGGTTATGATCCTTTGCATTTGTTGCTTAATTGTCCAACGAGCTCGAGGCTTTCAAACTTAATAATTGCTGGGCTGCATTTTAAGTGCAGTTGAACCACCCTAAAACTTTGCCAGTTGCAAAGGATTTTCCACTTTTAACTAACTTTGAGTACTGTTCCTAGGTAAGCCGGTATGGCTATTAAAAATAGAGAGAGCCATATGCATTTGATATGCCCTCACAGTAAGCATATTTAAATGTAACATTTTCGTAAACTCTAACTGTAACTGTAAGTTCAGATTATCCTTATGGTATATCAAGAACGAAAGTCTTTCGCAGTATCAATATTCCTTACATATTTTGTGAAGATATTTCGTTTACAGAAATGCCAAAATATGAGATTTATGGACCACAGTATAATGAAGGCATGAATATTCAAATCCAATTAGGGGTGAAATGAATTCCAGGAGCGACGCTTGCTGCTTCCTTAAAACGGAGCTCTTAAACATGGTCAAACTGATGATATGTGGGAAGAACCTCGTTTTGTCCCGATCTTCCATATAATATTATTA